GACCTCAGGTATAGACTAAGGGCAGGTTTTAGGGCCAATAATATGGATTTTGATATGATCTGTAGATGAATCAAGGGTCATTGTGTGGAGAAGGGAAATCACCATTGGCACTTCAGGGGGTCTTCCACCCTTGCCTGCTGTCGCCACTCAAAAAAGCCAGAGCTGTCCAATTGCTGACAGAGTAGAAGGGGTTGGTACTTCTTTTGGGTTCTGCCAGGATGGACTAAGCCAGTGGTTCTCAACCTGCGGGTCCCCAGATGTTTTGACCTTCAACTCCTAGAAATCCTAACAGCTGGTAAACTGACTGGGATTTCTGGGAGTTGTAGGCCAAAACACCTGGGGACCAACAGGTTGAGAACCACTGGACTAAGCTCTTGCCTTTCACCACTCTGCTCAGAGAAGGGCATGGTTCTCACAGTGACTCATGGATAAGTGTACTCAGGTTTTTTGGGTGTTGATTTTCTTGACTAAAGGCTCAAGAGTTTATACATGAGCACGAAGGATACATTAATTCTTTGCTTTGGGTCACTTTTGACAGCACAGTCCCTTAATTTCTCTTTACCACAATGGCATCTTTACAGTATTGCTAATATGCAAATATATTAAGAATTCAAGTTAGAAGGCTGAGAGCATATTGACTAAAATATGGCATTTCCTGGCAGCCAGAGCTTTAGTGTACATAGAAAAATGTAATTTAAGAATAAAATTATGAGGCAAAGAGGGAGACACTCAGGATGCTAGTATATGACCACTGAAGAAGTGGGAGTTCATAATATATGAGGTGAGATTTTAAATGCCTTATTGAAATGTGTTTTAAATAATCCTCCTGCAGTGGTTATAAATTTTGTGAAAGAGTCAAGTCTTTTACAAGGCAATACTTGGCATGCAACATTATAGTATTTCATACTCTTACTAGATTAGTACCATAATGACCAGGAAGACCACCTATGCCTTGACAATGTAGAAATGGCTCAGACTGAATTAACTATGGAATAGTCTTTTAAAAGAGATCAGAGGAAGGTCCACTATATAAAAGGTACTGGTAGTTTTATGGCTAGTAACACTGCAGTTAACTGCACATAAACCCTAATGCATTAGCCAACTGCTGATGGGATGATAAAATAAGACATACTTGTCTTACACAAACAGTAATTACCTTTGAATCCCCTCTTTAGCCATTTGTACCAAACAGAATGGCTCTGCAAAGCCTTTGGGAGCAAAATCACTGCCGCAAAATGGCAGGCAATGTTTCCAATTGAAAGGGATAAATCTTTTTTAGATTTCTTGGCTTTGTTCTATAGAATCTTAGGGTTTGTAGTTTTGTGCGCAGTTATAAGAGCTGAGAATAAAACAAACAAACAAAAGCAACAACTGGAAATTCCAGGACTCCATAGGATGCTACCATGGTAATTAAGTTGGAACCATAGCACTACAGTGTGAAAGATGTTGGGGGTTGTAAATGTAAATAAACAGAAGGTTTACCACTGTTTCTGAACCAAAATATATGCTGCAGTATAATAATGTGTCACTCAGATTTGTGTAACGAGTAACAGTAACACAAGGTCAAACAGAGCAACAATATATACAGCAGTCTCTCTGAATTATTACAGAGAACAGAGAGAATAAACAGTCCTTTTACAGAGTCTTTAAAATATGCTTCATGCCTTAGAAATGATCAGGCTTCAGAGAGTTGTCAACCATTTCCTTCCTGGCTGTTTCCAGCCAGTGCCCTCTTCACTCTCTTCAAGGTGAAAGTGGCAGTTAAAACCGTTTGTCTCAGAGCAAGCTAGAGACAGTAGCCAGAATTCTGGCTCCTGGCATGCTCAGCCAATTAGCTGCTGACACATGACTTTCCAGTCAAGCCACTACATCATGGTCTCTTTTTACAAATCCCCACAAAAGAGCCCTAAATGAAAGTTCTATGCTCATGTGAAAGCAAGACTTACAAAAATCCCAGAATTGATTTTATTGTGCAATTCTCTTGATTCATTCATGGGTTCTTTTTCTGAGTGGGAGAAGGGTTCATTACCTTGTGTTTCCTCTTCCCTTCTAATTTTCCTATTGTTGCTTTTGTCTCTTTTCTTTTCTTCAAAAGGAGAAAGCTGGGAGAGCTGTGCAGTCTCTTTTGCACAAGTTACTGCTCTTTGTCTAATATACCCTAAGAATGCTTGTGGCTCATAATTTAAAACAGTTTGTAGTCAGTGTGCTGAAGAACCCATGATCCTATCAATGCCATATGCAAAGTTAAATGCAATCTCCAACCCATGTATTCTGGAGAAACCGAGCTGACTACTGAAGGATTTGTGCATCACCATCTCAATTTGTAAGTTCGCCTTATACAACCTCATGTCCCAAGAAGACTCTGAAACCAAAGTTTACAAGAAATACCTTCACATTCAAGTACTACTTCAGTAAACACATTCCATGCATTTCGTTACAATAAATGAAGTGAATATGTTTGCAGAAGGCCTTATGATTCCATGGTGGTTGGAAAAAAATATAGAAAATGACACTGGCAACTTCTTTCTAAGACTACCCAAACATACCACATGTTTGCCCAATTGGATGCCAAGTAACAGATTTGTAAGGTATTGCTGTTCTATACAGAATTGCTCTTCTTTGGCAGAGCAACCGAAATGTCCCATCTTCCTTCCAGCACAGGATTCTTGTGCTGGAAGATAATTGAACATCTAACCTGAAAAGCTGCAGACTTTCAAACCTGGCTAATTCAAAACATATACTTTCTAACACTGAAGCCTTGATCCCAAGAGAATGAACTGATACAGTTACTGAAGACTCTTTGAACAGGCTTAAATATGCACTTTTATTTGTTACTGATGCTTATGTTTCTGGGTTTGATCCACTGTAGTGACTGAAAACAAATTCTAGGGCAGTGGTTCTCCACCTTTTTTTTTTGACTAGGGACCATTTTAACCAGGGACCACTTTCCAACATTAGCATAAAAAGGGTTACAAATTAGTTTTTGGTCATTGGATAGAAAACTGCATTTGATAGACTGCCGAGACTGTTTTATTGTTTTAATGCTTGTTGATGTATTGTTTTAATTCGGATTTATGTTTAATTGTGGTTTTACTATTGTAATTGTTTGTATTGGCATCGTATCAGTGCCCAACGTAAGGCATTGAATCTTGCCATTATTTATGTGTAAACTGCTTTGAGCTCCCCCAGGGGTGAGAAAGGCGGTATATAAATACTGTAAATATACTGTAAATAAATAAATAAATAAATAATAGACCACATCAGCTCTAGTTTCTGATACAGGACATATGCCATCCAATAGTCACCATCTGTTCACCCAGAGAAAATCATATTCTTTCTCAGGAACAGCTTATCTGAGTTGTGAGATTTTCAGAGCACAACCAGTGGTTTATGGGCCCTATGGTCCACAAGATCTGGAAGCAGGCCAAAACTTTATGAAGTTTCTTGCTAGACCTTTCTCTAGGAAACCAATACAGATGAATTAGTGTTCAAAAGTATCTTTACAATTCAATTCTATGTGCAATTGAAATTGGAAAGATAATTTCACAAGCCTGTGGTGGAAAAAAAAAATTAACATTTGCAACATTGTAGTTTTTTAAAATGCCAAAATGATTGACCTACCGGTAATTTCAAAGCAGATCTATTTTCAAATCAGGTCCAACTTTTTGAAACACCCTGTATATTTTTGGAGCAATTATTTAGGGTTTTTTTTTTCATATGAGGAGTGACTTGAGAAACTGCAAGTCACTTCTGGTGTGAGAGAATTGGCCGTCTGCAAGGATGTTGCCCAGGGGGCGCCCTGATGTTTGATGTTTTACCATCCATGTGGGAGGCTTCTCTCATGTCCCCGCATGGGGAGCTGGAGCTGACAGAGGGAGCTCAACTCACTTTCCCTGGATTAGAACCGCTGACCTCTTTGTCAGCAGTCCTGCTGGCACAAGGGTTTAACCCCACCAACAGGGCTCCAATGAATTAATAAATAAACACCCTAAAAGTGTTTGTGTCACAGGCATTTCTTTCTATATTACAGGAAAGAAGATTCCACCTGAACATTAGGAAGAACTTGAGAGCTGTTCAGCAGTGGAACTCCCTGATCCAGGGTGTGGTGGGGGCTCCTTCTTTGAAGGCTTTTAAACAGATGCTGTATGGCCATCTGTCAGGGATGCTTTGAATGCGATTTTCCTGCTTCTTGGCAGGGGGTTGGACTGGAAGGCCCATGAGGTCTCTTCCAACTCTAGAATTCTATACTGTTATCGATCCAATCATTACTTGATTTTGATTAAATGAAAACACTGATGTTCCAGTGTAATTTATTTAACTGCATTTGAAGACACCATACCAACAAATTAAAGTGTTTTGGAAGTCTTTTAGTAGACTTTTATGTCCTCATCACACTAGAGAACAAATCCACTTTAAATCCGGTTTCTGCCTCCTGCAGAATTCTGGACTTTGTAGTTTAGGGAGGCGCCTTTAGCAGTCTCATTAAACTACAAACCCCAGTTTTTTGCAGGAGCCATAAACTGGATTTAAAGTGGATCAATTCTCTTGTGTGATGAAGTTTAACCCCTTTCTTGCTGTTTACTTTTTGTTTCCTAAAAAAAATTCTTATTCAGTCACGTTTTAGGAAATATAAACCTCAAAGCATGGCTGTGTGTTGTACATGTGGAAGGGGAACCTGTAAGTGTTGGAGCAAATCAGAGATCATTCCTGGATTTACAGTGGTTTCCACATTTTGGTCCTCCAGGTGTTTTGAACTTCAACTCCCAGAAGCCCCAGCCATTCTGGGAGTTCAAGTCCAAAAGCTTGGAGGACCAAAGGTCAGCTCAAGTCAGTCCTGGGGGAAAGGGCTTCCCCTTCCTTCCTCCTGTTGGGAAAGGGGGAAAGGAGGCCTGGCGCTTTCCCTCCTAACTTTCCGCCCGCCCGGAGAGAGGTGTGCGAGAAGGAGTGGGAGAAACACAAACACGCCGAAGTTGCGGAAACGGGGCGCAGCGTCTCCTTACCTGCGAGTCTCCTGAAGCGGGAAGGGAAGGCGGGGCAAAGGCTCCTCGCTCGGCCCCAGGGTCCCGCCTCGCCCTATGGAAAGGGCAGAAGGAAAAGCCGCGGGCGGGCGCAGGAAACACGCCCCAGCGAGAGGTTGTCAAGGGGAGGGAGGGGAGGGGGGGGAGGGGGAGAGGTCAGCCCGGAGAGACCTTCCAGAGGCAGAGCGAGCAAACCCTTAGAGCGCACTGCATCACGGGACATAGAAGTTCTGGAGTTTCTTCCCCCTTCCTTTGCTCTTCAGTCTTCAGCGGGGAGCATCTGCACTGTAGAATTGTTGCACTTTAGCAGCACTTTAATTGCCATGGCTCAAGGCTGTGGAAGAAGGGGAGTTGTAGTTTCACAAGGTCTTTCGCCTCCCTTGCTTCTCCAAACTACAGTTCTGATGATTCCTGAGTCCTGGTAGTTAAAGCGGTGTCAAATTGCATTAATTCCACAGTGTACATCAGACATGGGCAAACTTCGGCTCTCCAGGTGTGTTGGATTTCAACTCCCAGAATTCCTAACGGGCTGTTTGGAATTGAAGTTGAAGTCCGAAACACCCGGAGGGCTGAAGTTTGCCCATGCCTGGGGTCAGAGGCGGCCCTAGGTAATTTTTAACGGTAAGCAAACAGTATATTGGCATGCCCCCCCCCCCCCAACCAATCACTGATATATATTTTCTGCTTCATCGTGGGAGTTCTGTGTGCCATATTTGGTTCAATTCCATCATTGGTGGAGTTCAGAATGCTCTTTGATTGTTGGTGAACTATACATCCCAGTAACTACAACTCTTGCTGACAGGAAGCTTTCCACCACAAGGTCTAGTTTCCCCCAAGAGCGCCCCTGGGAAAAATCAACTATATTGCAAATGCTTACTTTGCATAATGGGTTAAACCGCCCCAGCCTGGGGTAGATACACCCTTACTGTCAAGAAGTTTTTCCTCATTTGCAGGTAGAATATCTTTTCCTGCATATTGTTGAAGGCTGTGTTTTGAATCCAGGGCCCTGTGTCCCAGTGTCTTGAGCTTGCTCTGGGGCCCCAGGTGGCCCTTTCCCCATTGCCACGCCACTGGAAATTCAGGAGGTGACCTTGGGGACATCACACCTTCCCTGTTCCGGAAAACCAAGTGATGAGGTTACCATAAGATGGGAATGATTTAATGGCACACAACAGCAATGCATTCAGAAGAGAGCCCAGGCAGACAAGAGCAGTTGCCCTTGTGGCATGTTTCTAGGCACTGCAGAGTTGGGAAGGGTGGGGAATGCTCTCTGGAGCATCCTCCAAAAAGTCGGTTGCCCTAACAAATTTATGAACATCCTGTGGCTCCTCTATGATGACACGATGGCATCTTGTTGACGGGAAGCTTTCCACCAGAGTGGAAATCATCTATCAGACAGATGGCAAGCTATTTAACCTCAGCAGACTGAAAGCCAAAACCAACGTTACAACATCTGTTATAGAACTCGAATATGCTGATGACAACGTCATCTGTGCACATTCAGAAGCCACTCTACAAGCCACTCAAAACACATTCGCAGAAGCATATGAGAAGCTCGGCTTGTCAATGAACAAAAGTGCTCTTCCAGCAGTCACCAGCCAATCCCTCTCCAAAGCCAGAAACACAATTTAATGGTGTAACATTAGAAAATGTTGACCATTTCAGCTACCTTGGCAGCCACCTCTCCACCAAAGTCAACATTGACACTGAAATACAACACCACCTGAGATCTGCAAGTGCAGCATTTTTCCAAATGAAGCAGAGAGTGTTTGAGGACTGGGACATCCGTAGGGATACCAAGGTGCTTGTTTAAAAAGCTATTGTCCTCCCAACCCTGCTATATGCCTGCGAAACATGGTCTACAGACGTCACATGCAACTCCTGGAACGATTCCATCAGTGCTGACTCCGGGAAATCCTGCAAATCTCTTGGGAGGACAAGCAGACAAATGTCAGCATGCTGGAAGAAGCAAAGACCACCAGCATTGAAGCAATGGCCCTCCGCCATCAACTCTGCTGGACCAGCCACATTGTCCGGATGCCCAACCACCACCTCCCAAAGCAGTTGCTCTACTCTGAACTCAAGAACGAAAAACGGAATGTTGGTGGGCAGGAAAAGAGATTTAAAGATGAGCTCAAAGTCAACCTTAAAAACTCTGGCATAGACACTGAGAACTGGGAAGCCTCGGCCCTTGAGCACTCCAACTGGAGGTCAGCTCTGACCAGCAGTGCTGTAAAATTTGAAGAGGCACAAATGGAGGGTGAAAGAGAGAAACGTGCCAAGAGGATGGTGCGTCAAGCCAACCCCGACTGGGACCGCCTTCCATCTGGAAACCAATGCCCTCACTGTGGGAGAAGATGCAGATCCAGACCTTCCAGATCACCAAGGAAGAGTCTGAGAAATTTTGAGGAGGGTTTTTGGGTTTTTGTCACAGTTGGGTGACACCAAACATGGTGAAATGTCCTCTACATTTCTATAGAGATAAATTTTGGAGCTGAAATTTTTTTGCCAAACTTCTGGGGGACCATGGTAGCCACTAGAAAAGTCCCAGGATATAGAATTTTGACGTATAATTTGTTTTAATTCATTTAAAAATTTGTTCTGTTCTCCCAGTTCACATTGCTAATGTCCAGACATATAACAAATGCCCAGAGGTGCTTTTCCAGTTAATGATCTTTTTAATAAATGTAACACATTGGAAAATAAGGATTGTCTTGGTATTTTCAAACTTTACAGTGTAACCACTTTTGTGAACAATGTGATTATTTTATGGCTTTGCAATTTGTAGCAAATGTGTATGGCTTTGCATCTGTACCAAATGTGTTATTCTTCCTCATGTGCATATTAGAAGACTTGAATTTCTCAGCTAATAAACAATCTACTGTGGATTTACATAAATGCAGAAGTGAGCTAACTGTGAAGTTGCAAGTGATGCTGAAAAGGAGCTCCAGATATCTACACTATGAAGTGTGAAGTCTGTTCATCACCATAGTACCAGAAATGACATATGTGACAACTGCAGCCTTACAATGCTATCACACCAACATCTTGATCAAATATTACAGCACTTCCAGAAAGATTAATTATTTCACAGATTGATGGAAATAATTATTACCAAAGGTAATAAAGAAGTTAAAAGACTGTTTTGAAAATTATTTTTTGACAACCAGTTTGGCAACCAGAGTGGAGAATTAACTCAAACTGAGTTTTGTGACATATGGAAAATCAAATATTTATGTTGGAAACTGTATTTAATAGGACTCTCCAAGTGTCAAACCTGTGCAATAATTCATGTTAAATATGTCTGGGTCTGTGACATAAGTCACGTATAGTAGCATTAATTGTTTTAAAATGTTTCATATTAATTTTATCTTTTCCCTGTTGGGTTTTCCTCACTGTCAACATCATTAGATCAAAAATATTCAGCAGTTCTGTGTTTCTAGGCAACTGTACTCTGTTCTAACTGAATTAATGCTTTGGAAACCAGAAGTGCAATTATAAAATGAATTTGGTACTTTGGTAATCAAGTTCTTTTTTAAAATAGACAATGTATGCCCACTGGCTTTCTTTTTTTCTTTGCCCTCTGTCAAGCTGGAAGATTTTTAGTAGCATTGGTGTTGGGAAGATGACAAGGGAGGGCTGGAAATATAGTCCAAAACATTTTTATTCACTTAGGAAAGAATTACCTGACCAGATTGTTTGATTTCACAGGTGGAAACTGTTGCTTTTGCATATAAAGTTTACGAAAACATTTGAACTGCTCTTTTTGTTGTATAGGAATCTATCCCTATTCTTTCCTCATTATTTCTACCAAAATTTATGTTAAAGAAATATTGCCTAGTATCGCATTTGATTCATCAACTGAAGTATTCCTGCATTTATGTTTTGGGGCAAGAAAAATCAAGGAACAAATACTAGGATCTAAATCTAGTTGCTAGTCCAACTACATCAGATCTATTGAATCAATACTAAATTGTAAGTCTACATGTGTAAATCACATGGGATCAGTGGGTCTGCTTGAGTTGGGACTGGCAACTGGATTTTAGCTATATATGTTTGTATGTGATATTCATCATCATAGTCTGTCACTCATGGCCGATTCGTTGTGATGGGTCCATAGGTGACTGCAGAGATCTGTTCTGGATCTACATGTTCTTTTGCAGTGAGCACATCGGTTTCCAGATGGAAGGCAGTCCCAACAAGCATTGGCTCGACACACCTTCCTCTTGACACATTTCTCCATTTTGCTTTCTATTTGTGCCTCTTTGAATTCCTCAGCACTGTTGGTCACCTCCAGCTGGAGCGCTCAAGGGCCTGGGCTTCCCAGTTCTCAGTGTCTATCCCACAGGTTAGCTTTAAGGTTAGCTTTAAGCCCATCCTTAATTTTTTGCTATCAACTAACATTTCGTTTTCAGTTCGTGAATGGAGATATAGTAATAGCTTTGAGAGACGGGGATCAGGCATTCAGACAACGTGGCCAGTCCACCAAATTGATGGTGTAGGAGCATCGCTTCAATGCTGGTGGCCTTTGCTTCTTCCAGAGCGCTGACATTTGTTCACCTGTCTTCCCAAGAGATTTGCAGGATTTTATTTGGAGGCAACACTGATGGAATCATTTCAGAAGTTGAGAGTGACATCTGTAGATAGTCCATGTTGTGCAAGTATATAACAGGATTGGGAGGAACAAGCATTGTGGTATCCTTACGAATGTCCCGATCTTCAAACACCCTCTGCTTTGTTCGAAAAAATGCCGGTCTTGCGGAGTTCAGGCAGTGTTGTACTTCGGTGTCAATGTTGACTTTTGTGGAGAGGTGGCTGCCAAGATAGTGGAAATAGTCAACATTTTCTAATGTTACACCATTAAGCTGTATTTCTGGCATTGGAGAGGGATTGGCTGGTGACTACTGGAAGAGGACTTTGGTTTTCTCGATGTTTAACGACAGGCCAAGCTGCTCACATGCTTCTGCAAAGGTGTTTAGAGTGGCTTGTAGGTCTTCTGAATGCACACAGACAACATTGTCATCAGCATACTGGAGATATAAAACAGATGTTGTTGTAACCTTGGTTTTGTCTTTCAGTCTGCTGAGGTTAAATAGCTTGCTGTCTGTCTAAAAGGTGATTT